GCTGTACAGTGTAGAAATTGTTTCTCTTGAATTTTTCGGGAATACAGCTGGGTACATGATAATCACTTCCAAGAGGGGAAGAACCATCAATAATATTGGCATCAATGGGAATGAACACAAAAGAGGGGATACATGACCAACTACTGTAATTAAAAGTGATTGAAACAACAGGTGCGAGAGGTAATGATATTTTCCGACTGGTTGGTCGATTGAAAATTGAAGGCCACTTCACCATCTTACACAAGGAAAAGGTATATAAATGGATGTACATGGCAAAGTGAACCATCTTTTCTTTCCACTGCCATTCAGGCTCCGTACCCCAAAAACATGTATGATACAACTGCATGTGGTGGGTTCCATGGAACCACAAGAGCGAGAAACGACCAGAATCGGGCAACATTTTCAGAGTCAATTCAAGGGCAACTCTGCAAGAAGCAGTGACCAACGCTACCGCATGTGATGATATGAAGTTGTTGCCTGGCAGGAGTGCGGGAGGAGCCATCGCAAGACAGGCCGAACCTTTCTGAAGCTGCTTGAGTGGTTGTCAATGAGTCAATGAACATTGCAAGGGGTCAGAAGCCAAGAAAATGGAGCATCAAGCAAGAGAATTGAGAAACTTTCCTATGAACTATGAAGCAACAATATCAGAGCTTCACGAAGAAAAATCACCGTTGCGGTCCAACGGTGGAGAGATACCACCACCAAAGATGGCGGGTAAAGTAGGTAAACATGCAATCCAATAAACAAACACATACTCTTCACACAGGAATTGTGCCTGGCAGTAATGGAATGTAATGGACTCTTTTTTGGGGTTTTAATTTTTCTGTATAGCCCTAAAATTGGGATCTATTTGGGATGATTATTGTCATAGCCCCCTATGACTTTTGGAACGGTTTGAATTTACTTGGCAAGGGTCCCAGGGGTCCCATGAATCAACCCACCTGCGAGGCGGAAAGGTTGGAACTCCGATGATCCCTCTCCTCCGACTCTGTCAGGGGCACGGTGCTGTGGATGGCGGCATTGAAGGATCAGCCTATTTTCGAACTGAAGAATTGATAACAACATATACACTCTGGTGAACTAACATAGCAATGGAAAATCACCATTTTTAATGGGAAAATCCACTATTTCTATGGCCATTTTCAATTGCTATGTTAGTTCACCAGAGGGTAACAACTATGATTCATACTCCAGTTCAGAACCAGACATTTGGGGACTCCCAAGAACCTTGAAGCAGAGGATTAACGACTTACTAGCTGGGAGCTTAGCTGGGATGATCCTCCAAGGAGCCATTTTTCAAGGTGATTTTCACCACTTTTCGGGGCCGGTTTTTGACGGCTTCCGGTCCAAGGCAGCAGCTCTCGTGTATGGTGCACCCCTACCAGCCTTCAAAGGCAGGGAAGCGCAGGGAAGCCACAGCGAAAAGGGTGCCCCAGACCAAACCCGGTCTAGAAGATCACCCCAGCTGAGGTGATCATAACTCCCAAGGCTTCCAAGGTTTATCCTATCAAAACAACACTGGGTAGGTTAACCCCAGTTACGATTTTTGTATCCCTGTGGGTCAGGCGGTTTGGGATGTGCTCATCTCAATCCTGATCATTTATTCGGCGCGGGGGCCCAGAAGAAACTCCGGTGGCGGGAAACTCCTGGGATTTTTTTTTACAACCCGCCTGGTTTGTTGGGGAAGGTGTTTATTTTTTGGCTCAAAAATGATGGATTCCATAGCATCATTGTTCCGAACACTGACTTAAAATGAACTACCATCTGGTTATTTAACATAGCCATGGAAAATCACCATGCTATTAATAGGTAAACCATCTATTTCTATGGGTCATCTATACCATGGCTATGTTAGTCATAACCAGATGGTATCCCTCATTTTGAGACACCATCGTCCCCCGGAGGTTTTAGTGGAGCCCTTCCGTTTTTGCTTCCACGTGGAGGTTGATGCTACTCAAATGGCCCCTCGGCGCTGAACGTTGGACATGGATGTATTACATGATGTATATCTGTATCTATGTCTATATCCAGATTCGACTATCTATATCATTCTATATCTACATCATTCTACATCTATATCTATATCTCTATCTCTATAATATTGATATGGCATCTAGATTGACAGCATTTTCCATATTTTCCTACTTTGTTGATGATATCACTTCCGTGGATTCGCAGAAATTCGCAGGTCTCAACCCCCGAGAGAATGTCCCGCGTGGGTCAGGCTGTTGATATCCTTGTGGATTTGTTGTTTGTGTCTGATATTGCCTGGGAGCCAAGAGTTGCCAGAGGAGGAGCTGTCAAAAACTGGGGTTGGTAAACGGCCCAAACATCACCCGACTATTGGGGAGACAATCCCCAACAGGTACTTGAAAATGATGTTCAAAATCCCCCAAACAAGACCCAATCATTATTCTGTCCTGCCACAAATGGCTTGAGAAGCAGGATTTGAGCAACAATCATCTTGGGTACCACCAGGCCCATATGGTTTCCCTGACTGGTTGGTGGTTTCAAAGTTTCAAACATTTTTTATCCATGATATATGGGATGTCATCCTTCCCATTGACGAACTCATATTTTTCAGGATGGTTAAAACCACCAAAAAAGTTTTTCGATCCCAAAAACCAAAAAATGGTTACCACCAACCAGTTAATAATTAGATGGTTACCACCAGTTAATGCTTTTCGATCCCCAAAAAAAACACCGGGTTTTCCCACACCTTTGGTGACTACCAAACTGACCATCCCAGGTGGTCATCTTTTTCACCGCTTATTTCGATGAGCGGGAGGCAGGAGAAGCGATGACCCATGGCGGAGAGTTCCATAGGAAAGATACCCGGCCTGGTAAACTGTCACATAACTATGGAAAGATCCACCATTTTTCATGGGTAAATCGGTAAATCCACTATTTCTATGGCCATTTTCAATAGCTTTTTGTATGTTTACCAGAGGGTAACTGTTCTTTCTTGGGAACCAGCGGTTTTTTGTGTGTCAAGGATTCTTCGAATTTCCGTCATAAACTGCAGATACTGGAATTCCGGAGTGCAGTTGTGACTCTGCACAAGAATCTCCTTCCGCAACTTTTCCCGGTTCATTTCCATGTTTTGTGTTTTGGCATTCAAGTGCCAACCTCGTGCCTGTTTGTTGTCAACTTTCTCTCTACAAGATTCACTACCATTTTTTCTCCACTCGGTTCCCCATTTGTTTGCATTTTCTTTTTCCATGAACGAATGAATTCCTTCTTTGATACCAGTTCATTTCCATTGGTTTCCGATTCTTCCCCTACGCTTCCAATTTTGTCCGTGATTTCATTTCCCATTTATATGATTTCCTATCTGTTGCTTTCCTATGTCCTATTCATGTTCATCTTTGTCCACAGTTTTTTATGGACCTCTGAGTTCATGCGAGAGTCGAGTCCACAGTTTTTTTGTTTCCCTCGAAGATTCCAGTTTCGTGACCAGCCTTGGAGTCGAGCGAGTGCTCGCAGGCTCTCATAACCGATCGTTGGATGATCGGCAGAAAATATTTCTGTAGTGGATTCTTCTTTGTTGATGTGCCTTGGATGAATGGATGCACCGCAGAATGCCAGGTTGAATTGTGGCATGCTTCGTTGACCGTATTTGACCATGTTTTCAACCAGAGTTGACCATGTTTTTTTGGACAATATGCGATTTTCCGAAAAATGGAGTACCCCAAATTCCATGGTCTACCACGATTTTTTCCAACTGCAATTGCCATTTGCAGGGCTCACTCCTCCATTTTTTAGACACGATTCGCCCGCGGCCCGCGGCTGCGATGTTCAGGTGATCTCCGTTTTTCCAGGAGAGCTCTTGGTGAGTTTAATAGAGTCCCTTGGCAGGTCTTGGAATTCAAGAATCCCGAGAAAATCCCATCCTATCTGGTTTCATTCACCGCATAAAGCATTTTTTGTTTCTGGGAAAAAATGATATGAACCTGGAGGATCTGGAGGAGGGATCATCGGGATCATAGGGATCAACAAAAATAGCCATCCTGGCCATCCAAAAAAGGGGGCACGCTGCAGATCGCACTGACATCGAGGCCGGAGCTCGCTTCACAAGCGCGGGTGGTGAAATTGTTGAGGTGCGCTGATGGTGGGGCTCCTTTCGTGGGAAAAGAAACCGAGAAATTCAGCAGTAACATCAGACTCATGTCTTGAGAGTAACTAAAGCTACCACGAAATGAAATTACTAGAATCAAAGAGAGTTTATTTTCTCCGAGATGAAGCATTTTCATCCATTTTCATCCATTTTCATCCATGTTCATCATTTCCGTAAATTAGCCCTTTGGGACATTGGCATTGCAAGGCTGGTGAGACTTGGACGTCTCTTTAAGCTCAAGAGATTGTGTCCTGGCTGGAAGTGGCTGAAGCAACCCCAAAAAGGCCAGTCTTTTGCTGGGAGAAACGCGGGAGAAACGGGGCCGCAGCCATTTTTTGGATAAACAAATCGTCCCTTTCTGACGACTTGCTGAGCAACTCGGGGTTAGCTGGTGTGATGTGAGGTTGCTCCTCATCGAGGAGAAATTGCACATAACTTTACAAATGTTCGGGGCCTCGGACCTGGGCACCCTGGGAATCCTCTCAACCGAACCGCGGCTTGCAAGTCTATCAGGTCATGACAGGTGATACGAAACCTATCACCCTGATGTCTAAAATTGTCTAAAAAGACCCAAAGAAGGGATCCCAAAAAAGGAATAGAGACAGCACGAAACCAATGTTTCTAGGGATTGAGCATCGATCCATGCCATAAGGGTGGTTGCTAGACCATGTTGGTCTCAAAATGGGGAAAAAACCAGGCATACCCCAAGTTTTCAAGTTTTGCATTGTGACAAACGTTTGGGGGCAACAAAAAATTGAGACATGGGTTTGCCAAACAAATAACTTTTATTATTTATCATCATGTTTCGCATTAGCCTGGCAGCTTTGGGGTGGACCACCATTTCCACTCCCCAACACCCATGACTTGACACCCAGCGCGGAGGATGGACATGCTGAAAATGCTGTTGAAGGTGATTTTCATTGTGCACCTGTTAGCGTGCCTCACGCCCGGCTTCTCAGGGGTAGTGTGATAAATCTCTGGGTCAATGTTTCCAGGATGGTTTTGAAAATTTCCAGCTGCAGTACAGATGTGGGCTGAAAATCGACTCCAAGATTGGTCCAAGAAAAAATGCTCAAGTTTTCCAGGTTGCTTTCCTGGCGATGGTGGAAAATGGTCATTGCCAGCTTTGGATATCCCCCCAGCCCGAGGTTTCTAGTGGCGACACCGCTCTGTCCAGATTCCAGTATGGGACCATGTCGTCCACATAGCGATGACGAGCACCTTGGAAGCCTTGGTGCAAGGGGAGATGACAAGAAGGGTGGACTAGGGAGTGGCAGATTTTGGGAGTAGGGTAATCTGATAATTTTATTCAATATCCATAAATATACAATAGATATCAATAAATATCAATAATTATAGATATCAAACCCTCAATATTCATAACCTTAGAATTTGAAGACCCACAGCCAGGCTTGAAGGTGTTCTCAGTCTTTACACAGCCACCGGACCGCCCAGTGTCTGGACCAATTGGGTGCGGATGTTTCAGATTGACGAGTTCAACCTTGAGCCCGGGCGCCCAGTGATACCCAGTGGCGTTTCAATGAATCCACCGTTGAGAGAATGGCCTAGAGCTAGCGCGCTCGCTTTCCGCGCGTAACCGCGGCCAGGACCAGATATTTGGCAACCTTTCATTTCATCACTGCCACTTTAATGGTCAAGGTCTCAGCACCCGGGGGTTCCATTCCAAGCTTTCATGGCTTTGTGCTAAAGACTCAAACGTGAATGGAGTTACTTCGTGGAACCATAGACTTCAGTTACCACATTGCATGTGCCACAGAAAAAATCTTGGGTAACTTGCTCACATTTTTAAGGATGGTCATCCATTTTCATAGGGATTTTTCACATGATTTCAGAGGGGATAATGATACCTGAAAAAACCCAAGGCGGTGGGCTATGGTGACATCTTTCCCTCCAATTCCTTGGAACGCATCGTGTGCCGTGGCAGCATTTTTCGGCGGGGGGTAGCGCGGTTGGGGATAAGAAATCTCTAGTGAGTTGGGGTTATTATGGGTTATTATGGTTTATAAACCAACTCACTTTGATCACATTATGGTTTATAAACCAACTCACAACTTGATCACTATGGTTTATAAACCAACGAATGGGTAAACCAACTCACGAGTTGGTGGGACGATTTTTACTGACTCCAAATGATTAGCAAATCCTCCCATTTTACTATTGGGTAATTTCAGCGATGGCTGGGTGATGCATGTGTTTATGACTGGGTTGCGAAGTGTTCAATGACATACTCTAGATATTGCCATCCAATTAGTGAACGCGGTAGCTTTGAAGCCAGTGATTCGAGGCTGATCTTCATGGCTATGTGCCATTTCAGAGGGATCTTCCACATATTCCACTTGCAGTTTTTGTTTCTCTCAACTACTAGCCTCTGGTAATTTTCATAGCCATGGGATACAGTATAGATGACCCAATCAGTTGGATGATTTTTACCTATGAGTCCAAATGCCCTACCCTCTGGTAAACATACAAAAAACTATGGAAAATCACCATTTTTCATGGGAAAATCCACTATTTCTATGGTCATTTTCAATAGCTATGTTTGACATAACCAGAGGGTATATCCCATTAAATCCCATTAAATCCCATTAAATCCCATTAAACCACCATTTTCCTATATTAAGCACCCCCCTATGGCACCATGGTCCCCCAGGTGCATCGTCTCCCAAATCACGGGCGCGGTGCTCTTTGGTCCGATGACCCAGCGAAAAAACCAGGCTCCGTTTGGATGTTTATACAGGGATAGACTATCTATAGATATAGTTGTGGTATGTTGTAATAGATTGATATATATATATGATACATTATTGAGCAATGCTTATCAACTATTTTACATATTATAGTTACAACAATTGTGCTAAAGGTTGATATGGTTGAAACTAGTGAAAAAAATACCACCACTTGTTTGACATTATAATAGCAGGCATGGTTGATTGTCGGGTTTGCCACATGAGATAATCACAAAAAGGTGAATGGATTTAGTAATTTAGGGGAAGCGAAGATTTTCAGAGTTTGAAGACCTACAACAGCTGCGTGGGTCAATGCTTCCCCATGAGACAACATCTTTCCCTGAGGCTTTCTGCTGTCGTGCATTACTGCGGTGTTGGAGTTTACCAATCCCATGGAATTGGAACACAAGAAGCGCATGGCTGAAATCAAGGACTCGAGCTGGGGGATTTTCCGGGTTTTTTGTGGCTTCGGAAGACCATCAATTCCTCAATTGTTTTCTTATTTTGCAGATCTTCCTGTGACCTTCCTGTGACCTTCCTGTGACCATGCAACCGTGCCAGAACTGGCTTCGGGGACGCAGCCTTCCCCAAAACTTGAAGATACAGGTGGGGCGGAGACGAATCTGCGGGAGCTGCCAAGGGAATTCCATCACTCGATCATTTGGAAGGCCATGGAAAACCAACACAACCAGTCAATGCTAGGTGCAAGAGAAGCTGCAGGCTTCAAATCTTTACACCAAATGCTGGCTAAAAGGATGATCTTCCAATCGTCAAGCTCAACAGAGCTGATCACTTGTGATGAAAATCTTTTTCGTCTTCTTTTCCCGGCTGATTTGCAGCATGGGTTTGGCCCAATTCTGGAGAGAACATGACAGCATGATGTGCTGCATTTGGTGCAGATGAGGTGCTTAGGGCTTAGGTCACTGCTTGAGTGTTGCTTGATTTCCCATGCTGCATGAAGGATGATCTTCCAATCATCAAGCTCAACAGAGCTGATCACTTGTGATGAACATATTTTTCGTCTTCTTTTCCCGGCTGATTTGCAGCATGGGTTTGGCCCAATTCTGGAGAGAACATGACAGCATGATGTGCTGCATTTGGTGCAGATGAGGTGCTTAGGGCTTAGGTCACTGCTTGAGTGTTGCTTGATTTCCCATGCTGCATGAAGGATGATCTTCCAATCATCAAGCTCAACAGAGCTGATCACTTGTGATGAAAATCTTTTTCGTCTTCTTTTCCCGGCTGATTTGCAGCATGGGTTTGGCCCAATTCTGGAGAAAACATGACAGCATGATGTGCTGCATTTGATGCAGATGAGGTGCTTAGGGCTTAGGTCACTGCTTGAGTGTTGCTTGATTTCCCATGCTGCATGAAGGATGATCTTCCAATCATCAAGCTCAACAGAGCTGATCACTTATGATGAAAATATTTTTCGTCTTCTTTTCCCGGCTGATTTGCAGCATGGGTTTGGCCCAATTCTGGAGGGAACATGAGAGCATGATGTGCTGCATTTGGTGCAGATGAGGTGCTTAGGGCTTAGGTCACTGCTTGAGTGTTGCTTGATTTCCCATGCTGCATGAAGGATGATCTTCCAATCATCAAGCTCAACAGAGCTGATCACTTGTGATGAAAATCTTTTTCGTCTTCTTTTCCCGGCTGATTTGCAGCATGGGTTTGGCCCAATTCTGGAGGGAACATGACAGCATGATGTGCTGCATTTGGTGCAGATGAGGTGCTTAGGGCTTAGGTCACTGCTTGAGTGTTGCTTGATTTCCCATGCTGCATGAAGGATGATCTTCCAATTATCAAGCTCAACAGAGCTGATCACTGTGATGAAAATCTTTTTCGTCTTCTTTTCCCGGCTGATTTGCAGCATGGGTTTGGCCCAAATTCTGGAGAGAACATGACAGCATGATGTGCTGCATTTGGTGCAGATGAGGTGCTTAGGGCTTAGGTCACTGCTTGAGTGTTGCTTGATTTCCCATGCTGCATGAAGGATGATCTTCCAATCATCAAGCTCAACAGAGCTGATCACTTGTGATGAAAATCTTTTTCGTCTTCTTTTCCCGGCTGATTTGCAGCATGGGTTTGGCCCTATTCTTTAGAGAACATGACAGCATGATGTGCTGCATTTGGTGCAGATGAGGTGCTTAGGGCTTAGGTCACTGCTTGAGTGTTGCTTGATTTCCCATGTTGCATGAAGGATGATCTTCCAATCATCAAGCTCAACAGAGCTGATCACTTGTGATGAAAATCTTTTTCGTCTTCTTTTCCCGGCTGATTTGCAGCATGGGTTTGGCCCAATTCTGGAGAAAACATGACAGCATGATGTGCTGCATTTGATGCAGATGAGGTGCTTAGGGCTTAGGTCACTGCTTGAGTGTTGCTTGATTTCCCATGCTGCATGAAGGATGATCTTCCAATCATCAAGCTCAACAGAGCTGATCACTTATGATGAAAATATTTTTCGTCTTCTTTTCCCGGCTGATTTGCAGCATGGGTTTGGCCCAATTCTGGAGGGAACATGAGAGCATGATGTGCTGCATTTGGTGCAGATGAGGTGCTTAGGGCTTAGGTCACTGCTTGAGTGTTGCTTGATTTCCCATGCTGCATGAAGGATGATCTTCCAATCATCAAGCTCAACAGAGCTGATCACTTGTGATGAAAATCTTTTTCGTCTTCTTTTCCCGGCTGATTTGCAGCATGGGTTTGGCCCAATTCTGGAGAAAACATGACAGCATGATGTGCTGCATTTGATGCAGATGAGGTGCTTAGGGCTTAGGTCACTGCTTGAGTGTTGCTTGATTTCCCATGCTGCATGAAGGATGATCTTCCAATCATCAAGCTCAACAGAGCTGATCACTTATGATGAAAATATTTTTCGTCTTCTTTTCCCGGCTGATTTGCAGCATGGGTTTGGCCCAATTCTGGAGGGAACATGAGAGCATGATGTGCTGCATTTGGTGCAGATGAGGTGCTTAGGGCTTAGGTCACTGCTTGAGTGTTGCTTGATTTCCCATGCTGCATGAAGGATGATCTTCCAATCATCAAGCTCAACAGAGCTGATCACTTGTGATGAAAATCTTTTTCGTCTTCTTTTCCCGGCTGATTTGCAGCATGGGTTTGGCCCAATTCTGGAGGGAACATGACAGCATGATGTGCTGCATTTGATGCAGATGAGGTGCTTAGGGCTTAGGTCACTGCTTGAGTGTTGCTTGATTTCTCATGCTGCGGTTGAGCGGGACTATCTTGTCATAAAGTGAACTGGAACCATTAAGTTGCAATCCTTTACCGTCCTTTACCGGCCTTTACCCTGTTTCCTGTTGTGTTTCAACGGGGGCAGTTCCAGGTTTGGTCCCATTTTTGCTTCGTGGCATCCAAGCGGAAGGCCCTGAAGGACCCGGATGGCCCTTGATTGTAACATCCCCAGATTTTTTGGATTTGTGGCTTAATTAATCTTTCTTTGTTCGACCCAGATCATCCATATGGCAAAATATGGCAAAACCTATGACTGCACATCATTTTTGTCACGCAGCACCCCTGTTTCTTTGATTTTTTCCAAGTGGATGCCAGCGCAGGAGGGCCGACAAGACGGTCATAACACGCTCCTTTCGTTGCCCAGCCAACTTCGCAGCCAGCTGGTGCGCGGGATTCCATCCCCTTGACCTGGTGGGCTGTTCATGGGAACATCATGTATGAATCGGTGATTTTCCACGGCCACGTTTGATTACCGCAGGGTAATAAGTCTTTAGTTTTCAGTTTGATATATATATACACACATAATATACACTTCTTTTTTGGGGTACTGTAATGTTTTTGATGCTGGCAGTGGATTTTGAGGCAAACTCCATGATTTTTCAGGACCACGTGTTTGGTAGCCACAATTGCACAGCCTTCAGTGCATGATTTGAAGCAGTCATGCCAGCACTTTGACAAGAACGATTCCTGTCCCAGCACAAGTATGGGTAGCTATGTTCCAAGATTCAGGGCCATGAAACTGAAGTTGATTCCTGCTGGATGTGACACCAGAATTTACCTTAGGGATCCTTAGGGGGATATGACTGCTCCAAAATCCAGCCCAAGAAGCTGTTGGTTTGATTCCTCCATTTGGGCATCAGTCGGAAAAAAATCATTGATTTTGGATGATTTTGGTCATTTTAAGGATGATATAAACATGAGTAACCAATCCATTTTCTCCATGCTTTATGGGGTCCATAGCGAATCATCATCGTTTCACCCTGATTTCGCCAGGTTGAGAGCTCTCAGACTCTCTACTTCCAGGCTTTGGAGGCAGAACTTCAGGAGGTTTTGGTCAAAAGTCGTCCTTTTTTTTGACCTGGCCAGAAATCCCCATTTTTTTTTGGGTTGGTTGAGTTTTTTGCTTTTGGATCTCAGTTCTCGGACTTTGCTGGTTCATGTTTCTGAACAACCTGGCTGCAGCTGGAGAATTGTTATCCCCAGCCAAAGTGCCATGATGTTACTGGCTTGAGAATTTCCAATCCACAGAAAGATCATGAACCCAAATGGTAGCTCTGGTAGCTAGGCGAGTGTCCGATTTTTTTTGTCCCTCATGGATCCAGTGTCAGCTTCTCTGGCAGATCACCTTGCCAGCTATGTATCAATGGATTGGTTGATGGGAAAATCTACAGGAAACCCATGGGTTTTTACCATGACATATAGGGCTTTCCTGTAGATTTTCCCTTAAACCAATCCAATGAATGTACGGATCCATGGTTGGAATTGCATCCCCCAAGGACGATTCTTTCTGCCATCCCCTGGGCTCAAGCCGATCCTTCCGCTTCGCCGCTTCAGCGCAGCGCTGCCCAGCATGGCACGTCGATTTCGCGGGATGGCTGCGCTACTTGGGATCCAAATCCAGGGGTTCAGCAGGTGACCTACCCTCGAAACCGCATAGAAATCATCCATAAACAGTTCATTTTCCATAGCAAACTGTTAGTTGATTGGAGGGTAAATTCCTGATGTTTATCCATTTTCCCATGATATTTTCTTATCAAATTCCAATATTTTTCCCTAGGATCCTGTTACCTGTTGACTGCAGGGTACCTTGGTTAGTGACCCCCTGCCACTGGCACCATTCGAGGCTTGGCGCGCTGGCCTTTGGTACCTGGGCCTTCGTGGGCTCTGGATCTGTGAGGTGTCGGCCTCCAGTGCATCATTTTCCGAAATCTGGGGCCTTGGGGCTCCCCCGGGATTTTCTTTGGGTGTGTTGATTCTTGGGGAATGGAAGGGATCATCCTAGCAGCGCCCATCCAGGGCCTTGATGTGAAAAGGAGGGCTTTCTAATTAGCGGACCCAAAACCATGTAGGATATATATATATATACATGTTTTTTCCATTTTGGGTCCCAGAGCCAGCTGTCACTGATGAAGGCTCTACCTCAATGCTTTGCCCTCACTTAGCTTTGACCAAGTAGCCCCAGGTCCAAAATGGTTTGTTTCGAAAAAACACATGTTTCACAGGAAATTATGGTGACGTTAGATCACATTAGTCTCCAAGTATCAGGGGGTTCGGCATTTTCTCTCGAACCATAGGATCGTAAGTCTGCAGCTGTAGGATGTGGTTCATGCTACGTCGTGACGTCACTGGGGCAACTATCCATAGCCGACCTTTTCAGGCTGGTGAAACATGATATAATTTGTCCAGAAATCTTATATCCGCAATAATAGTTGGTTAATCCATGTTAATGCTAATGACATGCCTATTCTTAGCTGGTGAATGTCCTCATGAAATATTCCATCATAACCAAACCAATCCATTAACATTTTTTTGATCATATAAACTATATAACATTATACAACAGAAACAATATATATATATAAAACTGCTTTTAGTATATCAACAAATCATTAACTATATCCCATTCACCAAACCAATTCATTTTTTCTAGTTTTTTTTTTTAAATATATCCCCATCATATCCAGAAATCCATGTCTGCTGCCAGTCGTGATCCGAGCACCGCAATGAAGGGTTATCGACTTGACGCTGGGCGGTGAACAAAACGGAGCGGTTTTGGATGACATCATTTTGGTGAGATAAGATGTAGAATGATGTAGATATTTGTGGCGAGATTGACACAAAAATATGCCGCTATACATCTACATATATAATCATATATCTACATCCAATGTGATTCCAACAAAAGTTCTATCAAGGCAGCGCTTCGGGGCTAAGGATGTCTGCGTGGAGGGCTGGTTACACTGATGTTTGCTGGATGGGATCCCCATTTCTGGCACTTTCAATGTCAATGAACCGTTTGGGTGAAACCCCGGTGGCTTTGTTGAATACAATGGATATCGAGTGATATCGTTGTCGGCCAACATCTACATTTTGATCAACTCCGGATATTTGTTGGCGAAATCCACCGGATATTTGGTGGCAAACTTGGTTTAAAGTCGTTTTTTACATCCTTGGTGGCTTCACATTCCCTAAGCAGCGCCTGTCAAGCAGCGCGTCTGTCATTTCTGAGGATAAAATGCTGGAGGCTTCCGATGGAGACTCGGTGGCAAAAACGTCAACTCCTACCATGTGCCATGATGCCATGGTCGAGGTGGACCCCTACAGTGGGGGATGGTCATATTTTTTGAGGATTCCCATTATGGATGACTGGACAGAGCTGCACAGGTTGATCTCATGAAGGTCAACGGTCGGTCGGCAAAGCCAATCAAATGATCATCAACCCCCATTTTGTTCAGCTTGGACCTTTTTAATTTCGTGATGAACATGAAGAGATATATATATAATTATATATATATACTTAATTATATATAATTATATATATATATATAATGAAGTTTAGGATGGTTTAGGTGCTAGGTGCCTTGTGATTGCCTTAAACATTGACGATCTCTGTCCGACATTTGCCCAGTTTCGCCTCCGGGTCGCCTCCGCGCCTCAGGTGATCGATCCCTGCAGGTGTCTGAAGGCTTCTGGGTGGGCGAGAAGGGCTTCGAAAAGTCACAGCGCCTCGGTGTGATTGGTATATGAAAATATGATGGGTATATGATGGGTACCCTCTGGTTATGTCAAAATAGCCATCGAAAATGGCCATTTATAGTGGATTTTCCCATGAAAAATGGTGATTTTCCATAGTTATGTTAAATTACCAGAGGGTATATGATTGGGGGAAGGTGGGTATATGATTGGGTATATGATGGGTACATGATTGGGTATATCATTGGTGTATGAAAAGTCACAGGGCTTTTCCATCCCATCTTCGGGGTATGATTGGTATATGATGGGATTACAATCATGCGATATTCCTTTTTTCCAAGTACTGATGGGACTGGATTGTAATACCCCTTTTGGATGTTTTGGGGTATTACAATCCTCATGATTGGTATACGTTTTTTTTTTTTTAAAGCTTACGGGGTTTGTTTTTCCAATTACAGATAGGATAAAAAATTGAACCGGGATGGTAACACATGGTAACTATTAGTGGGCTTTTACCATTGTTGAAAGAAAGCAGAATGTTCTAGTGGGTATGATTTTCCCGTTTGTAAAGCGGGAACAACGTAACATAGGTCACTGTGGTCTTCCCCATATTTTGGGTATTGAAAAAGAAAATCATCAATGCACCCGATTTCGTGATGGGGCCCAGACATCATCAATTCGGTACCGGGCTTGGCATCGGGCACATCCCACCTGGGTCGCGAAGCCAACAGCAGCCTGCTGGCAGCCTTGCAGAGATAAACCCGACCGAGTGTTGGAGATGGATTTGATCTACCCTCTGGTAATTTAACATAGCTATTGAAACTAGCCATTTATAGTGAGTTTTCCCATTAAAAATGGTGATTTTCCATAGTTATGTCAAATTACCAGAGGGTATCCAGATGGAACATGGGTGCCCCTTAAGGGTCCAGCAGAGAGGTACCAGAAAATTTTGCCCTTAACTTGAGGATCAATTCACCGTTGATAAATACATCCCCCCCGTATGGCTGTGTTTTGACCTTGTCAAAGGGACCCCGTATGGCCGGCAATCTATTCCACTTTTTCAAGTTGTCTCCCGCAGCCCGCAGCTTGGCTGCTTGGCTGATCAGAATCATTGGACCCCGATTTTTCATGGTTAAAGAAGTTACCCTCCGGTATTCAAAGCTGGATTTCTGGAAAATCTCTCATTGAGTTAGATGATTTTCCCAGCGAACGAAACCTCCCTTTTGTGTTCGGGGATTTCCCATCCAGCCATGTTTGATGACACCGAAGGGTGTAGTTCATGGTGATTTTTGGAAAAATATCACCATGATTATATAGTTCACATCTCCAAGATTCTCGATTGTTCACTTAACAAGATTCATCTATGTTTCTTGAGAATTCGGATTGATCCATATTTCACTTAAAAAATCTTGATCCATATTTCCACTATTGAGTGGATATAGTATAGTGAGATATAGATTATAGTGATTATAGATCAAATATCCATATGTTCACCTATAGTCTATACTCACTATAGTCACTAATATTGATAAGAATAGATACTCCTTTATAGTCTGTACTATCTATAGTGATTACAGTAAATCTATGGATGATCACTATTATATAGTCTATCCTCACTATTGTAGATCAAATATAGATTAGTACGATCACTATGTAGATAGATAGATTACATTACATATCCATGGATTCACTATATCCACTTAACACATGGATCATCTATTTCACCAGATTTCCTATAAGTGGTTATATGTCACTCAGCATCTCCGACCAGGTGGGCGCAGGGCTACCGCTACCGCATGCGCGCCTCACCAGAGGAGGTTTTTTCGATGGGGAGATCATGGTGATATTGGGGAGTTAGCCTCTGGTAATGTATGGATAATCTATGGTTAATATATGGATAATCTATGGTTAATATATGGATAATCTATGGTTAATGGTTAATCTATGGTTAATATATATATATATAATATGGATAATCTATGGTTAATGATAGTTACCCTCTGGTAAACTAACCATTAAAAATAGTCATTTATAGTGATAGTACTATGGAAAATGACCATTTGTAGTGATAATTTATACCCTCTGGTAAACCACTATCATGGTGATATAATGGTGATATAAGAGCTATTGAAAATGGCCATAGAAATAGTGGATTTATCCATTAAAACTGGTGAACATCTCAACTAACATAGCGAACTGGAAAATCACCATTTTTAATAGGTAAACCATTTATTTCTATGGGCCATGTTCAATAGCCATGTTAGCTTACCAGAGGGTATACATTAGTTATAAAGAGCTATGATACATGGGATATAGATAAGGAATCATGGATCTAGTGATATGGGTATGGTGATATAATGATATATAATGTACAATAGTCATGGTGATATACATGGGATATGGCTATGATGTGGAATATGCGAATCCAATTATTAGTTGAATCCGTCCCCGACAAAAATGAATTAGAGAAACTGGGGATATCTTTGCCTGAAAAGTTGAAACATTAAACAGATGTGGTGTATCATAATTTTCCTCATCAAGCATGCAATATACTTACTAGTGCTAAACGTAGGGAATGGGGGAATGATCTATAAATATTTATAAATAACTATTAACAATCATCCTATTCCCCCCTACTAATAAGCACCCGCAAGTATATTGGGGGTGTTTACACATCAAGTTTCGTTTCCATACCCAGAGAGAGGCCCCATTTTTTGCCCCGGACAGGTTAAGAAGGGGATCGACACACCTCCAATCTTCCAGTGTGGGGGCCCAGTCCTCCAAGCAACGACGATCTCATGACGATCTCACCGCCAGATGAGGGTTGGGCTGATTTTGGGGAATGATTTGAATTGGAATGGCAAATTCTGCATTTCACCAAGTCACCTTGCGTTTGTTTGCCTTTTCAAACAGACCAGCCAATGGTTGAATGACTTGTGGGTTCCTTCACTGCAGAAACATCGCCGCTGATGGGATGTTGATCATCATTTTCTGTGCTAAAATTTCAATTTGAGGATATACCCAATTCTCAAACAAAGCCATATTCACAGATGGATGGCCAACCTTTATCACCCCTGCTGATAGACAAGCAACAGCTCTTTTGCCAGTTGCTTAGGGGTGATCCTGTCCCAGGAAACCCTTAGCGAAACACGGCTGGGAAATGGGCTTTATTGTCGAAAGGCTGGGCCCCATCAAGATCAAGTTGGGCGAATGCTTCGGCGGCAGCGGCAACAACGACAACCTTCGCCGGCGGCCCCAACTTGGGGGTCTGCACAATGGGGGAATGTGATGATATCAAGATAATTCATGATACCAATGAGGGTATAAACATGGACATATTGGCATATTGAACATATGGATACTTTATGTATATATATATATATACACACATACAATTTTTCCCAATTCTTGATGGCCAGTTTTGATGAGGAAAATATGGAGTTTCTAACCAGTGGATGGAATGCTTCTTTTTTTCTTCGCAGAATTGTCAGACAAAGCCAAATTGGGATGTCTAAGTCTGAAATCCCTTTGCCAAGAGTTGTATGAAGGATTGACCCCACAGAATTTTCGCGTAGAACTCGAAACAGGAACAGGGTTTCTGGATGTTTTTGGAAGATGGATTTGTTGGTGTCATTTTTCCATTTTATGTTGAAAATTGGGACTGCGGTTCTTTGCCAGTTTCTTGTACTTGCATGTATCTATCATCAGCAACGCCTACTATCAAGAAGGCAACTATTTTTTTCGTGGGAATCTGGATCAGTGATGTGGCACATTTCTCTGGTAGACTGGCAGTGTACTGCTTAATAACGAAAAAACTGTTGCTGTAACTACGAAAGAAGTAGACGGTTAATTGCGAAAGTCTTTGGGCCACTTTCGCTAATTATATATATATATGTGCGTGTGTGTGTCTAGTACCCCTCCGAGACCTACCTTTCTACCATTTCTATTCGAACTTACGGCGTTTTCGTTCAAATTTTGTTCCAGTAGAAACAGTAAAAGTATGTAAAAGTAGAATTGCAGATCCTATGAAAGTAGAACAAGTCAAAAAGTCAACGCAGTAGAGCAGATCCCATACCTCTCTCCTGCCATGTTTGGACCATGTCTGCAGTTCTACAGTGTCTACTGGTTTCACCCATCGAAACCCTCCTGTCACGTCTGGATGTTGGGGTCTGCATTTTTTTAAATAAATACTACAAAACACGCACACATTTTCTGATTTTTTCATTTAGCATCTATCTTGCCAAGAGAGATTAGCCTGGACTCGATATGATGTGGATTGGTTCACGGATGTTCAAGGAAACGTTTGACAGAATTGCTCCATATTCGAATGGCAACGCCCATTTGTTTCTTGCAGCATTTCCATTCGCAACTCAGGGCCCCCATCCTTTGGCAGGTTGCTTGGGATTTGTGTATTGTCCGTTGTGCACCTCAAACCCCACAGCCCGCACATGGCTCTAAAGCACGCTTTAAACACAACATGTTGCCGATTCAAAGAGCCCTCGGGGCATCTCCATGGCCCCAGGAAAGTTGAAAAAGGAGATCGCGCAAGCTGGCATTGATGATCCCAAGAAGATTGCTGAGAACGAGTGCCCGACATGGCCGGAAGTCGGTCAAAGATGATGGTGAAGATGCACCCTCTGGTGATTTAACAATGACCATTATTCAATACATGATTCATTTACCAATGGGTAAATTTCCATGGCTATGTTAGATTACCAAAGGGAAAGAGCATGAAACACATTGCTAATTATTGAAGACTACACGCGAGACATTCCTGAAGCCATACCTACAATTTCCCTGTTTTAAGATGGATTTTTCAAGGCGGATGCACGCTGAGCTTCGGTGCTGTGGGTACCTGGCCAGTAAGCTGGTAGGGCCTGTCTGGCGGTTTAAATGATTAAAGATACCCCAGAACAGATCCAATTTATCTGCACCCTCTGATAATTTAACATAGCTATGGAAAATCACAATTTTTAGTGGGAAAACTCACTATAAATGGCCATTTTCAATAGCTATGTTAAATTACCAGAGGGTATCTAGTCAAAACATGTTGTGTTCAAGGGGCTCTCCACTCCAAGGAGCAGAAAGTCCTTATCCGGTGCGAAAAGCTGATGTTTGAAACCTGACACAGGGTTGATCCACAGTTTCACAGGAACTTCAGTATTTACTCATCGTGCATTCAGCTAGATTTGGTCTAACCGAACATCTGATTGAAATTCATGCATATGGGGGAAAATACATAGCTTCCCATATTTTTTCGGGAACATCATCTGTTGATATAGGTGACTTCCCATTTTGTTTAATGTTCTGTTGGGTGCATCTCCGTTGCTGCAGGGAAATCAGCACCTGTGGTTCCCTCCAGGTACTGGCTCAAGCGCTACGGTCACAAGCGTCGCCGACTCAGTGGCGACGTAGCAGCCAACATTACCATAGGGACCCCGTGCAATGCCAAGGGTTGAGCATTAAACATAAACACATGGTCTCAAGCCCGACATTTTTGACCTTTCTGGTGATCATGGAGGGCAAACTTCGCCAACCCCAGGGAAGCAATGCAGAAACGACCTAAGATCCCAGAGATTGGTGGCACCAGAGATCCGAGTTCCTGAAGCATCCTGAAGCACCCGCAGGTTGGTTCCCGAAGTACGTGGACCAGTCTGGTGCCCCCAACCAACAGGGCCTGTTCCGTGGATTGGCCGCCACTTGGTTCCAAGGGTCCAGAGGTCCTTGGAGGCCGCAACGCGGGTTTGAGGGCGAGCTGAAAATCAAGAAAAGGTGGCTCATTTTGAGTTTATGAATGTGGTAAACCCTATGAAAAACAATAATAAACCATCCCCGATATCAGGTTAATTTTGGTTTTCAAAGCATCCAATTTCATTGATGTTGATCCGCTCAGGCCTGGTCTGGCTATGATCCTCTCAATGAGGAGCGTAGGAAGCTCAGTCCGAGTTCCTTTTTTTCCAGTGAGATTGGGTGCATGGTAGTGGTCAGTGATTCCGAAGCTAATTCATCATGTGTTTCTAAGACTGTTGAAGAAAAGGCCGTGATGGAACTGAACGGTGTCCGAAGGAATTGAGACAAATCCAAAACCAACTTCTCTTTACACATCTTTACACCTCTTTACCGAGCTAGAAAGTGATCACTCATCACCCCATGTGATCTTGAAGGAACAGCCAAAAATGGCCGTGACTGCTTTCAGCTTCTATTCCCACTTGTCTTTAAAAAGGTGGGTGGCTCAGTCTCCATGATTTCAGCGGCTCAGGTGGCAAGAGCTGGATCGAGGCGGACTACGGCAAGCCGTTGATCAAGGATAAGAAGGACCTGCAGCTGCCCGGCCTATTGACCAAGGAACAGATGCAGAAGGAGCTGGACAGCGGGAAGCTGCCGAAGCTCCCTGCACCCAAGAAGTGAGGCCATGACCTGGCCGACAAGGCCGCGCCACGGCCGTGGGGTTGGAGCTGAGATGGCCAAGGATGCCATTGGTTGTGGGTCAAGGGAGGTAGTGTGCAACTCCACACACTGGCCCGGTTTTTTTTTGAAGGAACTCCGACTGATATGAAAGTTCTTCAAAGAACAACTGTTCATCATGACATTTTACGACGATATTGAAAGTGCGCTGATGATTGTCCCAGTGCCTTAGAGCTTGCAGATCAGTACATAGACTCTAGTGGCCTTCAACACATCCAGGTTGCTTTGAACCAAGGTTTTCAGAGTCCGAGGTCCGATGCAGAGTTGGAAACCTTAGCTCGGCAAGAAAGGTCTGGCAGGTCGGTGCATCCGGAGCCCGCCCGGTGGCGTCGACCGCGCCGCTGATACTCTGGTGGTTAAATCGTCTGGAGTGCACAGTTTTCCCATGGAGTTTCTTGCTGAATGTCTGCCAAAAAATGCTGTGCTGCGCCGGATGGTAGCTGCTGGATTTTGTGTTATGCACACGTAGCGCATTCGGAGTGTGGAAGGTCGTTCAGAATATCTCTTCATGATTTTTTGTTGTGGATTTTTACTTGGATTCTTGAATCAATCCACCAATCCGAATCCCACATTCATCCACCATTTTTTTTCTCTGAATTTTTGCTCAGTTTCCCTTTGTTGCAGGCCGCCCTGGGCGTTTCAGAGAAGAGTCTGGTGGCAGAGCTGGCGTTTCAAGTGATGCCCATGCAGGCGGGAGAAATTTTAGGGGGCGAATCATCTGGGAAAACCACCTCTGATGGTTGAATCATGTCATGTTGAATCCCCTACGGTAAGGGAATAACTTCATATAACTTCTAGATACTTCTAGATGTATATAAGATGTATATAAGATTATAAGATGCATATAAGATGAAGAGCTATATACTTCTAGAAAGTGGGCAAGATGTATAAGGTCTGGACTCTTGGTGATGACGAGTGGCCCCACGGAGTTTGTACTATGTTTGGGGAGTTTCGAAATCATAGGGGGACCCCAGACTCATCCAAGTTCTTGAGCATGTTGAACGAGGAAACCCCTATACCTGGGCTAACTTAAATACTGGTACGGTTAGCCCTAGCTGCTTCAGTATATAGTTTTTAAATGGTTTTAAGCCCAATTGGCAATCACCTAGCGACCTTGCTGGCCGTGGGGAATGTGTGGAGGACGAGGACCAGCTTGAATTGGCAGCTTGTATTCATAGCAACAAGAAACATGCTGAAACATGGAGAAATTCTCAGGATATCTTAGGATTCTTGGACTTGGTACCGTCTGGTAAACTAACATAGCTATTGAAAATGGCCATAGAAATAGTGAGTTTTCCCATTAAAAATGGTGGATCTTTCCACAGTTATGTAAACGTTTACCAGGCCGGGTACTTGGTGAACGGTTGATCCCTTCCACTTCATCTCAACATATCACCGAAAAATCCTGGCCGCCTGGCCGGACCAGATTCCGTTCCGGATGTGCGTCATCCAGGTGTGGCGAGGGAATGGTTGGTTGAGAGGTATAAAAACGTTTAAGTGATGGTATGATCATCACCAATAGATAGTATATTTGTCTGAAAATAGGGTAGATTCCCAATGAAATAGCCATTTAATAGGGATAATGATCATTAACCATTGGGTTTAGGGGTACACTATTTTCAGACACACCCATATTTATCTTAAATAAAAGTCGTTCACCTCAATACACAGTAGTATGATTGACCACGATCCTTTATATAAAGAAGTATAATTTTTACCCCAATAAACCGCGGAGTAAAATGCCCCTTTGATCGCGAATAAACCATGCTGATTTTTATGGCTCAGAAGCTGAACTGGATCTGGAAGATAATGTTCCTGGTGGCAAACAGGGATTCTGCCTGTGGCACCCGGCATGAGAATGATATATATATATACACAATGAATGTGCCAGGATTTCGTTTTCAACATCTCAAGTTTTTAAACAACGAAATCAGCTAGTAGTAGCTAGAATCGGATACTCTCAGACTCCCAAAACGCACAGATAGTTGTTGTACCTCTTCAACGTCCATTTTTCTAGATCATCATTTCGGGATATTTGGGGAATCGAAACTACAAACGATCCGCGATCTCTCCTCGCCGCATGGTGCCTTGAGGCGGGGGAAGCCAACACGGAGCTCTATGTCATCAGCAGCGGGCGTTTGGACGCGGTGATGGCGGAGGAGGATGACAGTGGCTGATCGGGATGTGATGGGATACCCTCTGGTTATGTCAAACATAGCTATTGAAAATGGCCCATAGAAATAGTTGATTTACCTATTAAAGATGGTGATTTTCCATAGTTATGTGACAGTTTACCAGAGGGTATGTAGATATTCACCATGAAATTTAGGGATGATTTGGAGGTATATGTTTCCATGGATTTTAATACCGAAATAGTTTCATTTTGGATGATTTGGAGGATGCATTTCCCAAAATGGGGTTTTCACACGTATTTCAAGAAACATTTTTTTGTTGCAAGGTACATGTCCCCACTCAATCTGCAAGCAGTCTGGATGTTGATTTCAAGATATTTGCGAAAGTTGCGCGGAAAATGGGAAGTTAACTATCAAACATAGGGAAGTTGGGGAGTATATAGCTTGGTCCATTGGTTTCAGCGTTGGGGAGCTCCAGTCAAATCAGGCCTTTCCCACTGAAAAATCACTATCCACCTTTCAGGACCGGTGTGACGAACATCTGCAGGCGCGCCTGAACAGTTGCTGGCGCCAGTTGGGCGGTTCGTAGCGTATACTACAAGAATCTACAAGAATTGCAACTTAGGATGCTGATCCGTTTCTTACTTAGTCTTACTTAATCGAAATTTGCATGATGTCTTTATATGTATCTGTGAGCAATTCGTTTTGAACATGCACATTTCAATGGATTTGTGAAGGCTTGGGCTGTGCCCCTGAAAGAAATCGCAGCGTTACCAACTTTTTCGTAGTCCGCTGTGGTCGGATAGCAGTCCACGCAAGCCTGCTGGTTGTATATCCCGTTCTTACTTCGCTGGGTGAGCCAAACTTCTGGCTGCGAGTGTGCAAAACCCTTGCTTTCAATCAAACGATAGCCTCTGGTAATTTAACATAACTATGGAAAATCACCATTTTTAATGGGAAAATCCACTATAAATGGCCATTTTCAATAGCTACGTTAAATTACCAGAGGGTAGCAGTCTTGTTGGTGGTTCCAAAAATTTATGACACGGAACAGAAGTTGGAACCACTCTCCAAGTCCCAGAATTTGGATGGGAATCGACACGGAACCGCTGGAGGTTTTCCATGTTTTTTCCGAAAAAACCAAGCCATTGAACCATGGTTTTCCTAATCCTATGGCTGTGATCCATCAATTTAGTTGGTGATATCAGTTATCCCTAGGATGAAAGACTTCCTATTAGATAAGTGATTTGAAAAAAACTCAACAACGGCTATCCTATGGGATATCATATAGGATATCATGGATATGATATTACCAAGTAATCCCATTTTTTTGTTGTCATAAAGACTTCCAAGTCATCTCAATCCTTTTGGAAAGCCCAATCTTGGGAGCTGCCCTCCTCAAAATGGCAGGCCTTTGTGGAACTTTGTGCTGATTCGAGGTGACGTGGCTGGAAAATCCCCGAACTCAATGGAGGTTTATGGCTCGGAAAATCATCTATAAATGGTGGATATTCCATTCGTTTATTCATGAAAGAACAGTAGCATTAGGTGTGCTTGATTCGTGAGCTTGTATCCCTCGTTCGTTCCACATGTTTTTTGATCTGAGTCAGCACTAGTTCTGTAGGCCATCAAACTAGCACGATTTAAATCTGGTAAGTATGTGATGTAAATATCCGATAGCTCCAAACATATCGACAGATCTGCACACATATATGCATAATACACGGTAGTCACATCTTTTTGTTATGATTCTATCTGGTACATCGTTCGATGCACCCAATTTTCCCTCGGCAGGCCCATTGTGGAGGAGCGCCAGAGTGGAGGGCATCAGATTTTGCGGTGAATTTCATGGGTATTTCAGATCAACATGGGATTCATCAACTAGATATTCTATAGGGATTCATGAATAGAATTTTGTGGATATCTCATATGGATTTATGTGGATATGAATGGACATACACTACTTATATATATATATATTCTATCTGGAAGACGAGACTTTTTTTTTCATATGCGCCTTCTGACTGTGGATAAGCCATTTTGGTTTATTGTATTTCATAAGGGCCAAGGGATGACCATTGGTAGATGACATGACCGGTTTCTCTGGCCAGGACATGATCACAGAGGAGTCTGCGCCAGCTGAAGACGAAGAGGTGGTTTCTTCGCATTCCCACAAATGGGTATGGATCAATACCTATTAATACCATTTTTAGGGGGATGAACATCCATTTACCAGCTATTTTGATGTTCACCAGGGGGATAGGGTTTTGACCCATCCCCAAATATGTATATATATATATAAAATACATTTGGGACAGGACTACGCTGGGTAATGTACAGCAGAATTCACTATTGTAGGGTCGCAGTGATTAACTTCTGAGCGCCGTTAGGAAAAAAAACATAGATACAAAAATATCGCTTCGTAAATTTTTCAGCTATAGGTCCAAAAAGGTTCTAGGGGCGAGACTTTGATTTTTCAACACCCTCAACAAAAATTCCAGGCAAATTCTTCCAGGAACTCCCGCGGCAGGTGGAGCGCAGTCAACCGCAACACCCGAGGCTTCGGATTGCGCACTCCAAGTGTCACGACCAACTCAGGGTGTGGGAAATCTTTGTGGGGCTAGGCCATGGAGGTTACGAAGGCGAAAATCATCGAACGCAATCATGGGGAATTTGATTGCTATGATTACTAGAGGGTCTATCTATAGTTAGATGGGGTCATATACCAATTTGAAACTGGCTACCAGGGTGGATGGACACTTTAATGTTTTTTTTTTTTTTTTTCGCAAGAAACTTTGGGATTTCATGGGAATTCTTATGCGAAAACTTGCTGGGTGGTTTTAATTATCCAACCAAAACAGGTACAGATCAGGGTAAAACTTCATGAAGGATACTCTAATCTTGCCTAACTTGCTATTGTCCTTGGGGGGATACATGTCTGTGTATAT